AGTCGCCCAGCCGTCGCGTCTTCAACCCCTACACCGAGTTCAAGGAGTTCTCCAGGAAGCAGATCAAGGACATGGAGAAGATGTTCAAGCAGTGAGTGCCCGCGCGACCCGGCCCCTACCCGCCCTGCGCCCTGGCCGCGGCCCCCAACCCCTCAACCTTCGTGCCACCAGTCGCGCTTCCCCGAACCCTGACACACCGAGGCTGGAAACTGCAGCCCCTTCCAGATCATCACCAGGCTGGAGACCCTCCACCCCCAATGCCCCCAGCCCCTGCGCGCGACCCCTCCTCGTAGCGATACTGCCCCCAATACACCGAAGGCGCGCGCACGAAGTGGGGGTGGGGGACAGGCTCCTTCCAAATGGTCACGAGCCCCACCACCACACACGGTCAGTCGTAGAACCTTGGTCTCTGGCCGAGAGCCCCCAACACACCCTGTGCTTCTCCTCCCACTCCCCACCGCAGTCCCAGCTACCCTGTCCTCCCGCTCCCACCCCAACACACGCAGGTCAAAGACACTCACTCCCAGTGCCCCTTAGGGATGACCATTTCCTGCACCCCATGCTGTATTCTTGCCCTCACTGGGGTTCTTTCATTTCCTCGGCTTATCTCAGTCCCTCTCAAGGTGGGTTCTGGTCAGGGCCCCTCTTCCCAGCTCTCCTGCATCTAACAAACTGTGAACAACGACTCTGCTCCTTCCACCTTATCCTCCACCACTTTGTTAGCCAGGACCCAAATCCTTGACCCTCAAGTGGTCTCCCAAGGAGGGACCCTGCATTCCCTGTCCTCGCCTGCAGGCATGTAAACTCCCCCAGTCATTCCTTCAGAACTGAGCCCCCGCTTCCCCCACCCGGATCGCTGACCTCAGCCAGGGCAGCACACGCTGCCCCCCTTCCCGCCCCCGCTAGCCTGCGCCCCAACCCCCATAGGATCCCAGGTGCTTACACCCACTCCAGGCAGAAGGGTCCTTCCTGTCTGACCTGCCTATTTGCTCCTCTTTATTCCATGCAAATGCCCTTTCCAGGGTAGACAGGCACCCTCAGGCCTGTGGGCTCAGCCCTGACCCCTCAAAACATTTCCTGTCTCTGGGGAGCGACTAGGGAGAAGCAGCCCCAGTGCGTCCACACTGCTGGGATGGAAGGGCAGCCACAGTTGTCCCCAGCCAGCTCTGTGCCCACGGGGTGGCAAAGGTGCCCGCCCCCCTCCCTTTGGACCCCTTTCCCACCTCCTGTTCCCTATCCCCTGCACTGGCTCTACAGGAGAACAGCCCAGAGGTCCTGCTCTGGAGTGGGTCTGGGAGGAGGTCAAACTGTCCTGAGGCCAAGTTTTGGGTGGTGGAATCAGAAGGTCTAGCCTACCCAGCACAGGCCCTCCCAGGCCAAGGGAGGGGTACAGTAAGGCAGAGCTCCACCTTGGCTGAGCGGGATGGTGGAGAGGCCCAGGCTTTCAGTCTCAGCCTCATGCAGCCCACAGTGCCCAGACACCAAGCAGGAAGCCCAGGAAGGGGGTGTTTTGCAACCCCACAGCTTGAGAAAGGCTCTTTCCCACGTCTCCCCACTTGCCGCAGCTTCTGCATTTGGGCCTGATGCAGAGGAGGACATTGGGGTTCCCAGGCCAGGGTGGCTGGGAGCCTCATTCTTTTCCAAGAGTTAGTTTGGGGTAAAATCAGGTCCTTGACTCTACCGTCCTCTGAACCCCTGCCTGCAAGTCCCAGGGTCCTGAAGAGCCCACCGCTATGACTCCAGGGTCTTGGTCCCAGCCAGACTGATAAGGTGAGGAGAGCAGGATTTCCAAGAATCCAGGCAGAATAGATTGGCGAGCCCAGGGGCAGGTATGACTTTGCTGTCTGTAACTTCCTTACAGAGCTTGCCCTGGGGGAAGCTCAGCATTATTCACACACTGGAGGGTGTACTGATAGTACTCAGGCACTAAGGATCTCATGGATCCCTCCTCCCACCAACCCCATGACATAGAACTATTTTCACCACCACTGTGCAGATGAGGAGTCTGGGCCCAGAGAGGTTAAGTTCTTTGCCAAGACCTCCCAGCCACAAGAATGATGAATCCAGAATTCGAACCCCCAAGTCTTTGACTCCAAAGCCCCATATTTTTCCCTCTGGGTTTCCATTCACAGACATCTGCTTTCACTCCAAGACCCCCTTCCATGTCCACAGCTGATTAGCCACCCCCTGGTACCACCGACCCCAGTATCTCCTTCCCCCCAGATCTTGCCTTCTCTTAGGCGTCCACAACATCCCTACTGGTCCCCTCCAGAAGGAAAAAATCTAGAACTCTTCCGGTGGGCCCCAGCTAGCCCAAATGAGCAGGACTTGAGAGTCTGCAGTTTGGTTAGCAGGCAGCTATGCCTGGGGAAGGGCCTTAAAGCTGCATTTGCAAAGCAAGCTCACTTTTTACATGGGCTGTTTTGGGTGCTAGTTTGAAGAGGGGTACTTGGATGGAGATTGTGGGGAGCTGAACCCCCGCCCCCGCAGGCCACCTCCTGGCACCAGCACTGCCTGCTCCGGTATTGGGAGGGGTGAGGGAGCCGGAAGGGCCGGGAAGCTGGACCTCTAGGGAAGGAAATGCCGCCTGCGGGGGCTCTGGTGAGGGTGGAGAGCTGCAGATTTTGTATTCAAGGAAACAAGGCTTCACTATGCCAGCCGAGCCCTGCCCAGCCGAGTCCCGACTGGGAACAGCCAACAGACGGGCTCTTGCGGAGGACAAAACCCCCGTTCTGCTTCTGCTGTCCAAGTGGGGCTGCAGCCTCTGCATCCAAGCAGGGCCCAGGGATCGCAGCCAGGGCATGGGTGCCAGGGCTCAGCTGCAAGCAGGGGAGAGGGAGGAGGCAACTCCCTTGTGGGAAGCCACCCACCAGAGCAGAGCACAGGAGAGGCCAGATGGAGAATGAGGGGCTGGCCTTTCCTTAGGAGCCTGGAACTAGGAAGTTGGACTGAGTGGTCAGCTTGCCCGCCTCCTACAAAAAGGAGCAGGCCGCAGCTGATTCCCAAAGGTCCTTTGGCTCTGACCTTTGCATATTCCTGAGGAGTCCTGAGCCCTTCTGGGTATTAGGACTGACTTCCAGGGTCTTCTAGTGCATCCATTCAGTATCAGTCCACCAGGTACTTCCTGAGGATGGAAACGGGGGGCGGGGTGGGGGAGGGACAGAGGGGCTTGCGGGGAAAACGCAGGCTCTCGGCCCTTGGTCTCCCACTTAGGGCTGTGCAGTTTCCTCCTGGGGACTCCCAGCCCCTCTCCCCATTTTACTGAAGAGGAAACTGAGACTCCATGGCTTACTCAGGGTCACAAGGGTGGGGGGTGGTTTGGTGGCTGAACCCGAGGTCCTTATCTGTTCAGTGGAGACAGTGGTCCAGCTCCTCGGGGTGCAGCCTGCGGAGTGTCGCACACAGAGTTGTGGCCCTGTGCAGCCCCAGGCTGTGGACACAGCCCCAGGCTTCTAATCTCACACTCCTCTCCCTCCGTCCCTCCATCTCTCTGCTCATCCATCATGCTGTCTCTGGAACCAGCCAGGCAATGGGGAAGGTGGGGTGGGGTGGCCCCAGAGAGCCTCGGGGGTGTCCACCCCTGGGCTGGCATAGCTGAAGTGGGTTCTGGAGGGCTTTGTAAGCTGAGACCTGCTGGGAGGGTAGGCAGCCGTGTAATTCTGAACCTGCTGTGGAATCTGAGGACGATGCCCCAGTTCCCAGTCTTGTCGGCCAGTCTTGTCGGCCCTGTCCCCAGCCTGTCCCCAGCCGTTTCATCTCGTGACCTCTTACGTCAGAGAGGTAGGCTTCCCTCTCCTGGCCTGCTCCATCCTGCCCTGCCTTCCTCTCCACCTGTTCCACCTCCCAGGTATCTCTCCACATCCTCTCCCTGGAGGCCTGGAAGGGCCTTTGAAATCTGCACTCCTGGGTTCAAAGCCCAGTTATGGGCCCTAGAGCAAGTCACTTAAACCTTTCTGAGCCTCCCTTCCTCACCCTAAGGCAAGAATGATAATAGTGCTCACCTCCCAGGGTATTTGTAAAGTGCTTAACCAGTGCTTGGCACAGAATAGGTACTGTCACCATCACTCCCAGCTCAGTACACACCTCTCCTGGGTCCCAGCAGGGCCCTGGCAGCCATTGTGAGGGCACTTGGAGGTGGCTCCGTCTTGTCCACTGCCTGCCTCCTCTTACCTCCCCTCCCCTGGGCCTGCCAAGCTGGTGACAGCTCTTTTGCTCCGGGACAGAGCGACAGGGAACCAGAG